GCGCTGGGCATGGCACATTGCTCTCGCTGCCGCCCGCCGCCCCCCCACCGTCCGCTCACCCGGGCGGCAACGCGCGGGAGGGGGGGTCTAGAAACAGATGGAAAGAGAGTGTATAGTAGCAAACTAGATATCCAGAAAAGGTCAATACTCAAGTTCCTATCTAAAGGTCATCTGGTAGAATTCCCCTCCCCCTTCCTCTTATTAGTAAGATGGTCAACCGACTGAATGCAGCCTGACCTCATTAGAGAGAGTAATATGCTATACCTAATCAATCAGGTTAAATATTTATCTCATAAAAACTTGATATACTCTAAAGAATATCTAATATCTAATGTATAATATATAATATACGTATAAGAATATTTAATAAAACCTGTACATTGAGGCATATATATGTCATTTGTGATCATTGTGATTATTTATATACATGTGTGTATATATGTATACATATTAAAGCTGGCCTTGAACTCATAGAGATCTGTCTGCCTCTGCTTCCCAAGTGCTAGGATTAAAGGCAGGCACCACCATTCCCCAGCAACATTGAGGCCTATTTTAGATAGCCTGTAACATTAACTAACAATGTGGTTTTACATCATTGTAATGTGCATTCCCTCTACAGTAAAGCTGAGCTCATCAAGCATTTGGATAATATTCCTTGCATCTAAATCTCCTGTCTGTCGTGTCTCTGACGGTTCTTGTTCGTATTCATTAAGAATTTATTATGGAATTATTAGTACATTATCCATAGCTCAACTTTTAAATATTTTTTCCTAGAAACTTGATTAAAGAAAATGTTTAATTTTAAGATAGCCCAAATTATTTATCTTTTTCTATAGAATTTCGTGCTTGATTTCATAAACACTGACTCAGTCTAAGAAATTCTGTTATCTTCTAGAAGCTTTGTTTATTGTTATCTTCAATTTCAAATCATCAGTATATCTGAGATTAATAGTATAGACAAATCAAGATTAATTTTTTTCATATGAATATTCTATTAATTATGATGTTAATCACAAATGACAGTAAATGCTCTTTTCACTTCAAAGGAAACCTCAGTCTTTCACTACTAAGTA